TTCTCTGCATATTTGAAAATATTCTTAATAAAATACTGGGGAGTAAGAAGTTAATACAGAGTGAGAGGTTAAATAAAGAATAAATCTAAATAAATTAGATTTATGAAAAAATCATAAACTAATAAATTATTAGAATACAGCACAAGACTAGGACTAATAAATAAATTCAAGCACTGATTCTTTGAAACAATTAACAAAATGAAGCCTACCAACATATTCACAGGAGAAAACTAATGCAAAAACATGAAATATTAGAACAAAGAAGAAAAAATCTATCTTTAAAGGAAATTACAGCAATTATAGGAGAATATCTTAAATTTATGAAATGAATTTTAAAATCCTGCATGAAAAGCATTATTTTTCTAGGAAAATAAATAACCAAACTGTCCCTGGAATACACAGGAGACGTAAACAGACCTAACAAAGAAGAAACTGAGAAGTTTTATAATAACAATATTCTCGGTCTCTCTAAAACAGTAACAAAATATGCACAGTTTTAGAAGACTTCTCTCAAAATGAAAAAGAACATTAATGAAAGCATTATTGAAGCTGTTCTGAAGCAAAGAATTCTAAATAAAATTTATACCAAAACCTGAAAAACATACACAAGTTATAAAATTTTAAAAATCTATCTTATTTATGAATATGAAAGCAAAAATCCTGCATAAAATAAGAAGACAGAATTCAGCAACCTACTAAAAATTATTTACAATGACTAACTGCACTTTATTTCAATACTATAAATCTGGTTCAATATTAAAGAAGCTAACATCACTCACCAAAATAATAGGTCAAAGAGAACATCATAATCCTTCCACCCCATAGATGCTAAAAAGTCATTTAATAAAGTTTAGTAATTATTTCTGATAAAGTTTTCTTAATAATATAAGAATAAATGGGTAACTCTTTACCAGAATCAAAAAAATTTATTTTAAACCAGAAGTCAAAAATTTGCTTAATGAGATAACGGTAAAACTATTCCCATTAAAATGAAGAATAAGATAAAGGCAACATTATTAAATATTTTTTTACTTTACCAGTCAATGCATTTAGTACAAAAAAGGAATATAAGATATAAAAACTGGAAATGAGGAGATATAATTATATTAATACAGGATAATATAACTGTATAATTGGAACATATATGATAATTTAAATATTAGAAACAAAAGATGGCAATTTTCAAAATTAATACACACAACAATAACTTTCCTGCATATAAACAAGTTAGAAAATATAATGTAATAAATATTCTATTTGAAATTGCTATTTTCACAACAAAAATATTTAGTTTTAGCAACAAAATAAATAAAATACCATAAATAAACTTAGAAACAGTTCAGGAAAAAATTTAAACTATAATAAGGGAGATAAAGGAAAACTAGGATACATGGTGAGACAAATATTATTATTGGATAGGAAGGTGCAATTCTAAAAATGTTACTCTCCTTAAGTTAATCTATAAATTTAATGTGATTACAATAAAGTTACCAGCTTATTTATTTTAGGACAACTAGGAAAGATTATTTTAGATTCTATATAGAAATATAATAAGGCAAAAGTAGCCAGAAAAATCTTGAACAAAGTAAAACAGTAAGGAACTAAGTTTACCACACAACTATAGTTTAAAAGCTATAGAAATAGAGTTTCATGCTGGCATATCAAAAGAAGATTAATGGAACAGAATTCAAAATTGGACCTAAGAGTTTAGTATATCATAAATGTGGGCAGTGTAAATGGGTAGAAAAAAATAATTTATTTAATAAATTTTGTTGGAACAACTCACCAGGCATTTAATAATAAGACTGGATTGGAAGTTTACTTCTTATATCAAAATGTATTCCACATGGATCAAAAATTTAATCACAACAAATACACTCTGACATTACCAAGAAAGAAGTATGAAAATTTCAAACCCCAGAAGTCATTTAAAAAATGATAGACAAAATAACTACATAAAAATTACAAATTTATGCATGCCAAACACAAAAGGCAAATGACAAACTGAGAAAAAAAGCATGCAACATATAAGACACAGTAAACAAATCTCTTGCATAGACAGAAAGCACTTACAGATCGAGAAGAAGAAAAGTCCAACAAATAGCAAAATGGGCAAAGGATTTTATCAGACAGCTTATATAAAGTCAGTAGATAGAATGTTCCGTCTCATCCATAAAGAAAACATTAACAAAAAACAACACATATCAAGTAAACACTATCAGACTGTTAAAAACTAGAATGGATGATTAACAGTATTAATGAGAGTATGGAAAAATAGGTACTTTCATTGTGTAGTCAGGGTTAACTCAGATGGCCTGTGTTGTCCAAACCCTGTATATCCAAAGAAAGATTTGGACCTTACCCAACTCCTAAGAGATAATCTCTAAGACTCTGAAATATTCTGCCTGTTCAGGGTCTCTTTGTCTACTTGGGGCCTTGGGTCACATCAGATAGTTATGCTAATGTGAGTTGTGGTGGAGGGCTCTGGGCCACATTGTATTAATTTTGGATGGTGAGGCTGGGAACTGAATAATGAAGGCCGGCCACATGGACATTCTTTGCAGACATAACTGGTCCCCAATAGAAGCTCTGGACACCAAGGCTGGATGAGCTTCCCTGATTAGCAGTACTTCATGAGTGTTAGCTCTCATCATGGCTGGAAGAAGTAAGTGCTATCTATGAAACTCCACTGGGAGAAGACAACTAGTCTTTCCTAGACTCTGCCCTAAATCAATTCTGTTGATTTTAGTTTGTAACATTTCACTGTAATAAGTCACAACCATTAATGTAATGATTTTTCTGAATTTCTCAAATCCTTTTAGTGAATCATTGAACTTTATTTAGGGTAGTCTTGGGCACTCCTGATCACAGGTGATGTCAGAAGTGGGACTCACTAGAATTACACTGACTCACTGAAATATGGCAAAAGAATGGTTTGGGAAAAGGAAGAATAAGAGGGTAGGAGTTGACAAATCTTTGATTTGGGCCACCCATGGTGTGAAGTAGTCCCTGTGTTGCAACCAGTTACTAGAAGTAAAAGTCACCACTGGAATTTAGAAATGATAAATCTGACTCCCAATACTGGATGCATAAGGAAATGCAAAATGACAAGAAACATGCTAAATATACAGTCTCTCAGTTATTAGGTGTAACAGCTAAAATGACAGTGAAGTGTTGAGGCAATTCCTGATGCTGGGCCAAGCTTGAATTTTAGCTGGTCTAAGCTACAGACACTAGCTTCAGGCTTTCCAACAAAGGGACAAATAACATGCTGAAACAACTGACAGCTAAAATAAAATGATTCATGAGAGAATGGGGAAAGACAAAAGGAAGAATCAAGGGACTCATTCCAGCAGGTTGGACACTGATGGGATCAAAGGTCTTAATGAAGCACTATTGGAGATTACATAGACCAATGGGAGCTCCTGGCATACCCCAACTTTGAAGAGTTTTAAACAAATCTGTTCTATTTACCTTAGTCTGGGGGAATTAACAAAGCTGAAAGGCAAAAAGGACAATGAAAAATGTTACCTCAAATCATCCGTGGCAATTGTCTCACAAACTAATATGAATAAAGACTGATGAAAAGAGTCAGGGTCCTTTAGTCTGATCCTTGTTTGGGGACATGGGCTATAGCACGTGTGGTTAAGATGGTCAGTGAGTGGAGAGAAAGCTTTTCTGGGACTCTTTGACATGGCAGACCAATGCACTGAGGTTCCTAAAACTGTTGGTGAAATCCTAATGTTGACTACAGTTAGTTTGGGAGACTTAGCCATGAAATGGTTGATGAAATTTAAAGTTGAGATTAAAATGGAAATATTTAAATGAACTTCATGTGAACTGAATGTATCTCCTTTTCCTGAATGCATTGGGATGTATTTTATATCTGATTGGGGATTATGTAGACCATCTAATATTCTAAAACTGAAGGCAGGTAAATTTGTCCTTTATCCACTATACCTGCTAAATATGCCCTTTATCCAGCATACCCACTAAATGGGAATGCATAGAATTGTCCAAGCCCACAGATTTTAGTTGGAAATAGTATAAAGTACCTAGTGCACAAAAAGAGATTAACTTTTAATCAATGACATGTTAGAAACTGGGATGCTGATACCAACATATTTTCTCTACAGTAGCCCTGTATGGACCAGAGTTTGGGGCTTATGGAAAAAGCCTGTGAGTACCATCAAGCAGTGACTACTGGAATTTGGACCAGAAAATTTTCGGAAGCAGCTGTAAGATATGCAGCATTTGGGAACCAATTACTAACTTGCTATTGGACATTTTACTAATGTTGGAACTAATTTCTAACCAATTACTAACTTGCTATTGGACATCAGGTTCCCAAATGCTGCATATCTTACAGCTGCTTCTGAAAATGCCCCTGTGACTGAATGCATTAATCAGGGTTCTTCAGAAAAATAGACCCAGTAGGGTGTGTGTGTGTGTGTAGGTTTATTATAGGAATTATATCAGTGAATATATACATATGTGTATGTACATTGTCATAGAATTATGGAGACTGAGAAGTCTCATAATCTGTGCAAGTTATAGAACTAGGAAAGCTGGTGGTATAATACAGTTCAAGTCCAAAGGCCTGAGAACTAGAAGCTCTGATGTCTGGGGGCAGATGATGAATATCCCAGTTCAAGAAGACAGAATTCACCCTTCCTCCATCCTTTTGTTCTATTCAGGCAGGCCCTCAATAGATTAGATAATGCCCCACCTCCTTACGTTGGTGATCGTGGATCTTCTTTATGAATCTACCAATTCAAATGCTAATCTCTTCCAGAAACACCCTCAGAGGCACATCCGGAAATAATGTGTTACCAGCTACCTGGGCATCCCATGGCCCAGTTAAGCTGACACATAAAATTAACCATTATACTGAAGGACATATAAACGTGAAACTTGAAATGCCCATAATGTCTTAAATGATGTGAAAGGAACACTCTAATAAGACAGTGCCCAGAAGGGCTCCATAATAAATGGAATGCTGTGGTAGCCCCAGGAGACTACCTACAGAGTAGTCTATAAAAGGGCCCTGACAGGACTAGACATTTACTTTGGACTAGGCTTTGCACCCCCAGAGGTACCTGGGCACAGATGCTTAAAATACTATGAAAGGACTGAAACAGAAGATACTGTGCCAATTTGGACCATCAAGTTATATTTCTTCAGACCAGCAAACATACTTCAATAGCCCATAGTGTCTAAGGATGGGCAAAAAGATATCGCATCAAAATGGATAGTGGTTTAACTAGAGAACTGAAAAAGGTAATTGAAACATTGTCTAAAATGGGGGATGATAAAGGCAGGAAGGGCTAGTATATATACCTTCGTGAGTATGTATGCCCATTTAACATGAGGGGGACAAGAGCGAGTTCCCACTTGACAAATTCTTTTACTTTTATGGTATATCTGGAGAAGGAGGGATGAAGGAGGACACTGGTACAAGCTACAAAGTGATTTCTCACATCACCTCAACTTTCTTTTTTTTCCAACTTGGGGCAGTGGTTGGAGACTGCAGGGCCAGAAACAGGAATGATTCCTAAACAAGAAACTTATTTAAAGCTTTATGTCAGAACTGCTATGGGCCTAATGGGGTGGACTGTGTCTTCACCCCATCTGGCAAAATTTGGACTGATAGAGAATGCAGCTGTATTGCCTGGTGGTCAAGATAGCCTACTAGTTCTAAACCTACATATCCTTACTCTGTGTAAAGGGGAATGAGCTGAAAGGAGGCACGAGCTAGACTGTAATACTCCTGGCAATCTAGACCAGCGCAGTGGCTAAGCCTAACAACTCTTCCAAAGGTGGAAATGTTTAGGTAAAAAATTATGACAAGTGAAAAATAGGAGAAATAGCCAAGGCATGGGAATAAATAAATGAATTAGATAATGAGGAAAAGCTAGTATTACATTGGTGCTTTGAGAGAGGCTCAGAGCAAGAGACAGTTATCTCTTAGCTTAATTATACTAGATGCCCAAAAAGGTGAAGTCCGTTTTCTAAGACTAGCCCTGCTCTTAGAACCTGAAAAGGTTGAATGAAAGCCTGTGAACTTGAGTGCTCAGGAAGACATTCTGGTCATATGATATAATGATGAACTGGACCAATTAATTGTTAATACCACAGTGGAACTCTAGTAACAGGCTGTTATCTTTTGATTCTTATTTTTCAGGTTACGTCTACTACAATACTGCAGATACAGTATAACACTGGCACTGTTGGTGTGGTTCTTCTTCCTATGTAAGTAAGTCATATGATGATGATCAAATGTATTGGAAAATTGAATCACAGTCTCATTACACAGTATGTAATATCAATGAAAAGTGGGCTGAGTAAGAACTGGATCTACTTAATTATGAGTTTATTTCTATGCTGAGTATGTATGTATAAGTTTGTCAAAAGGTATAAATAGCAGAACATTAAAATAGGAGATAATCATACTAGTTAAAAACTATGAAAATGTCTAATGGCTTTATAGGACTGATTAGTTGTTTCATTAAATCTATTCCTACCCCACACTTGCTCCTCAAAATTTTAGGCATCATATTGACACTATCACTATGTCATTTATAAGAATGCTATACTAAATGTAGATGCTTAGACATATATGATGGTTTTGCTGTAGGAGAGCCTAGGCCAAGTGACCATGGGTAGCCTGTGTGTAAATGATTAACTCAGCAGGCCTGGGTTGTCCAAATGCTGTACATTGTAAAGAATGGTCTGGACCTTGCTAAACTCCTGGGAGATAACCTCTGAGGCCTCGGAATACGTTGCCTTGTAAGAGTATCTTTGTCTACCTGGGACCTTGGGCTATGTCAGATAGTTTATGCTAACAATTGATTTATTGTGGTGGTAGTGGTAGAGACCTTGGACACACAGTATCAATTTTGACCCCTGGAAAGTCCAGAGACTAACTGAGGTCAGCCATGTGGGCACTGCATGTAGATATAAACAACCTGCAGTAGGAACCAGTGACACCAAAGTTGGATGATTAGCAGCACTTCATATTATCTCACGTTACGGCTGGGAGAATTAAGTGCTGTTAATTAAGACTCCATAGGGAGAAAACAACTGGAAGCTTGTGCTTGGTCTCATCTGGACTCTGCCGCATGGCAAGGGCCCCCGACCCCAAGGCTGTGGACCACTACTGGTCTGTGGCCCATTAGAAACTAGGCTACACAGCAGCAGGTGGGCAGTGGGCGAGCGAGCATTACCACCTGAGCTCTGCCTCCAGTCCTATCAGCGGCAGCATTAGATTCTCATAGGAGCACAAGCCCTATTGTGTGTGTGCAAGGCATCTAGGTTGTGCGCTCCTCATGAGAATCTAATGCCTGTTGCTCTGAAGTGGGATGGTTTCATTCCAAAACCATCCCCCCACATTTGTGGAAAAATTGTCCACATCTGTGGAAAAACTGTCTTCCCCGAAACTGGTCCCTGGTGCCAAAATGGTTGGGGACCGCTGCTATACGCCATTTACTTTTGCTGATTTTAATCTGTGTCCTTTCAGTGTAATAAACCATAACCATGAGTATAATGGCTTCTCTGAGTTCTGCAAGTCCTTGTAGCAAAGTGTTGAACATGAGTTATCTTGAGGACCCCTGACCATAGTCATAAACTGTTTGCCTTTATGATTATAAATTAATGCAACTCTTTTTGGATGAAAATTTGACAGTATCCTTATACCAGAAATTCTAGGAATGTACCCCTAAAATATATATGTATATATGCATTAGGCCACACATAAAAGGGTATTTATGCAGTTCTGTCAGAGCTGATGATTGGAAACACCTAAAATTCATCAATAAGGTACCAGTTAAGGAAATTCTCATTCATCTATTTAATGAAATCTGACATACCAGTTTATAAAAAGGAGATTAATATATGCAAACTGATACAGAAAGACTTTCAAGATAGATGGCTGTGTAAGACAGAGTTAATTTATAGCTGAACTGGAAAAGCTCTATTTTTACCTCTGGGGAATTCTGGCTGTCCAGCTTGGACTCTTGGCCAAGATAAGAAGAGTAAGATTAATGATACGCTGTTTACTGCCTGAAACTCCCCCTGATAACCCCACATGGCCAGTTTGTTTACTGATGGTTTTCATTTGGCAGAATCAGGAAGACAGCCTGATTTGATGTCAGGACTAGAGGGTCCTAAAAACCCAGATGGGAACTTTGGCCTTGAGGTCTTCTGAAGCTAAGATGAATCACATAGATCTTAGTGTTTCAATCTGAAGACAGGTAGTCTATGTGTGAATAAGGCCGCTGGAAAGCTAGCACCTGGGTCCTCATGTTTACCACATTATCTTTCTCTCGCTGCACCATATCCTCTGCCTTTAAATAAAAGCCACACATAAAAATGCTCTGTGGAGTCTTATAAGTCCTTTCAAATATCTAATTTGTAAAATCTTTGCAATAGTCAGGTGACACAAGCAAGGTCTATGACAATATGTAAAACAATGGGAAGTAAGCTTTCTGAAATGCTAGCAAGCAAAGTGGAAAAGGCCATCAAGGACATGTGGGAGAAGATTCTGATTCTCCTACACAGGGATGTATTGCAGTGGGTGTTGTAGTTGGCTTAAGGATCAGTGGAATTTGCAAAACCTTCAGGGACACAGACTGAAAATAAAAGAGTGGCAGGATAGCCTCAAATGAAGCTTTTATCCAGTCTGACTCTACCTTGCACAGATAATGTCACCAATAGCTGTGTGACGTCATGACTCTGGGGATCTTGGGAAATGTATGCTTAGGGAGGCTGCATCTGTACCCGTACTGTATGGTGACTGCACCTTCACCAGAATGGAGGCTGGGTTCACAGAATGCAAAGCCTATTTATCACATGAAATATCTGAAAGATGGCACCATAAACTCTAGCCACTCTTAAAAAAGTATTTGGTTAGAAAATATATTTATAATTTCAATAGAAGAGGCCAGAAACGCAGCTGCCCTCATCTGAACCTCAAGAGTAACAGTGGGGGATTGCCAAGCAAACAAGGGGAGTCGAAACTCTCCCCACTCTCAACTTCTGATGGTGACTCCTATGATGGAGGGCAAAATGAAGGCTGAGAGTGAGGGCTAGGAAACGTAAGGAACAGAAAGGTGTGGCAAGGATGTGACAGAAGGGTTTTCTAGTTAGATGAGGTGGAACTAAGCTGAGTGGAACCATCACATGGGGCTGGAAGTGACACTAAGTAGCAGCGGCAGGATGGGTGTTGCTTTCCTCTTCCTTTTGGGGCTCTTCTGCTCTCATTCTCTCATCACTGCTACTGCAGAGAAATTAGGGAGAAGTCACAGTAGGAGCAGTAGGGATTCTCCTTTATTGCTTCTTATTCATTCCCTCTGCCACAGATATGTCATGAGGAGGCTGGGAAACAGAACCAAAGTACAAAAAGAAAGGCTTGGGGGAAGGTTCCAATTCAGTAGCATGGCAGTGTTTTGTCTGCTTGACTTTTTAATTTCCTGCCCTGGTGCTGTAGCAAAATGAGGCAGGAGTGGGTGGTAGCAGAGGAGAGGCGGGAATGATGGCAGGACTGAAAGGAGAAAAAGGGAGAGAAAGGGACGTCCTATACTGGAGAAGATAAATATATACCCAGTTTTGAAGAATTCTGTGTAAATACATGATGCTGTTAAGTACTATTAAGCATTAATTCTTTATTATATTTTTAACCCTGTAACTTTGGAATTCTTGAGGAAAATTAATTTTGTCCTCTGTGAACAAAAATGTATTCTTTCTTTCTCCACTCCCTCTTCTTTCTCCCCATAACTATCTATATGCCAGATAATATATGAAGAAAATTTAGTTTTTAAGAACTCCCAGTAGTCACTATAATAAGTGTACAGTTATAAAAAGTATGTATGTGTAGTTATTTTATTCACCAACGAATGTCTGTAAGATCTCTACCAGGCAATAACATATGTTTATGTGCCTCAATCAACAAAAGGTGGAAAGTCATGGCAGTGAAAGATGGTGGACAGTGGGATATTTGTCATGCCTGTGCATGGACTGGAGAGATGAGGCTATAAGCTTTACCTGGGAAAGCAAAAAATAAATTTGGAAATACACACATACAGAAACATTAAAATCTATATATATGAAAATATACACTCTTCAGTTCCATAAACATCCATTAAAGGACAAAGTAGGAAGTAGGAACAAGACAAAGGAGAGGGGCAGAAAGAGAAAATGAAAGAGGAAAAGAAATGGAAAAAAGGAAAAGGCAGAAAGAGGTAAAAGAAGATAAAGATACACTAAGGAGAAGACAGACATATAAGGAGGAGATAAGGAGAAAGAGACAGGGAGCCACAAAGAGCAGGACTACCGCTCACAGACATTCTGCATAGTCTCCATCTGTGACTTCACTCTATGTCTGAGTTTGACTGCCTTGGACACCGTCACGCCCTTTGGAATTGTTTAGAATTAGCAAAGCTTCAGGAGCCAAACAAATGCTGTAAGTGCCTCCATTTAAGCCCATGTGGCTACTGAACACTTCGAATGTGGCTGATTTCAACTCAAATGTCTGTAAATATAAATGCACACCAGATTTCTGAAGACTTTGGACAAAAAATATTTCACATTCTTATGCAGAAAGAATATGAAATATTTTGGATATATTTGGGTTAAATAAAATACATTTTTAAGGTTAATTTCATTTTCTTCTTTTTACCTCTTTAAATGTGGTTACAAGCAAATTTATAATTACATATGTGGCTTATATTTCTGTCATAATGTACTGTTTTCTAACATTGTGAGTCTCCTCATTAAAATCAAGGTTGGCAAAGTAAGTTTGCTAATGTCTAAATCTCCCAAACTGCTACAAACATACCAATATGCTGGACTTTTTCATCGATGACTTCACAATGGTATGGCCACCGTGTTGGGCTCAGTGGACCAGAAGAAGAGACACCATATAAATCCCGTGGTTCACGAAGACGTGGCACCCATCTCCCTAGCTGATATTCTAATAGTATCTGTGTAGTCCGGGGGAAGAAGGGATCACCAAAAGAGTTGGCTGAGAAAAAGATTCAAACACAATCATGAGTGAGAAGAAGAAAAACCCCAATTCCTACAATTTTTATATAGTTCCTTTTTCCCTTTCAACACTATTTGATGTGTGGATATCTTCATAAATGTCTTATAATTCATGGCACTTTTTATAAAAGTACTAATGAAACTTTGTGATGACTGATCTTCACAATAGCTAAAAAATAGTTGTTGACCTTTATACTATTCATTTATTCTAAGCTCACTACTTTAAAAACATTTGTTTCTTGCAGCTTTTCTAGCAAATCATCTACTTTGACTCCTCTTAGTCACACTATTTTTTGTCTAATGAGTGAAATACAGTGATGAACTATAACTCACTACTTACTGGAACTGTATTCTCAAGTTTTGCTAGTGAACTCAGTCACAGCTTTTTCTCACTTCTCCTTCTAGACCTACTGTGTGATACAACGCCGGGAACACAATTCACATAGACTCGCATGGGGCTATGCCAAGCAGACCATGTGCAGTGGCCTGATCTTTTTGTTGTGATACTCTGCGGCATCAGTTTGATATTGATGATCACCCCTCCGTAAGCGTGCTCCCCCTTCTTTTATGATACATTTCCTGGATTTCCACCACCCTTTTACATATTTGGTTCTCCATTTGTCTCATTGACTCCTCTTGCTTTTTCACCTCTGAAATGTGGCTTTTTGCTGAGATTTAGTTCTTGGTTATTTTTGTACAACAGCAGATACTGCAACTGGACTAGAATCAGATGACTGGGTTCCTTCCCTTTTACCACTTTGTTTCTGTATGACTTTGTTTGGGCAAGGCAGCCTCTCGGAACATAAATCTTACTACAGGTCAATAACTAATAATACCATCTTCCCCAGCTACTTATCAGGATTGTTCTATAGCTCATTCGTCCAACAGAAGAACCAGGAAAAGGGGTCCTTACAGTGTGCAGGGAATCTGAAGGGATGAAGGAAACCACAGAAAGGTATCTCCTAATCCTGTATATAAGCCTACACGTCTCAGCCAAATCCCTAGTCTATACAAGCAGACACATTCTTAGAGACTATGAAAACTTAACTGAAACTTTAACCCCCCCCAACACACACACACACGTCTCAGCTCAACCCCTGAATTACACATGTGCAAGATAGTCCCAAACCAACACAAGGAAAGCTTAAGAGAACTAAACAGAGATTTGAACCATCTATAAAGTCTCAAAATCCCTGAGCTACACTGGCATAGGAGAGAACCAAATAAGCATAGCAAAGGCTTAGAGATCAGAGCTGAGATCTGAATTACTATCCACAGAAGGGGTGACAGAACTTACTGCTTAAACCTAACTGGATTGATTGCCTGCTAGAAGAAATACATTGACCTCGTCCAGAAGGACCCAGACTCTACACAACATAGCATGAATAATGGAAAACCAGGAATAGGACCAATTCTCAGGGCAAAAGGCAATCAATAAATGTCAACATCAAGATAACTCAGATACTAAAACTATCAGACAAGAACTTTAAAGGAGTCATTACAATTATACTCCATGAGGTAAAGGAAAAGCACACTTGTGCTGAATTAAAAGATAAGAATTCTTGGTAAAGAAATAACCATTGCTGGGAATGCAAAGAGATACAGCCACTTTAGAAAATAGATTCGGTTTCTCAGACAGCATATATTTAGCATATAACCCAACAATACTGTTTCTAGGGACTTACCCAAGAGAAATAAAAACATGTTCACACAAGGACTTGTACAAAAAGGTCCACAGGAGCTTTATTTGTTACAGCCACAAGCTGGTAACAATTTAAATGTGCATGAATGGACGGCTAAATGGAGAAATTGTGGTCTATTCACATAATGGAATACCTCTCAATAATAAAAAGGAACAACCGACATATGCAACAATATGGATCAATCTCAAGAGTATTATGCTAAGTGAAAGAAGACAGAAGACACAAAATGTATGATTCTGTTTTGTGAAATTCTAGAAAAGCCAAATATAGGGGAGAGAAAGCAAATAACTGGTTGCCTGGAGCCAGGGGTGAAGCCTGGAAAGAGAGGATCTACTGCAGAGACACAGGAACATTTAGGGGTGATTAAATGTTTTATCTTGCATTTGGTAATATTCTAAACAAAGCAAGAAACATAAAGGGATTATTATAAATGGGCAATTCATACCAACTATGAATATGAATAGATAATAAGCCTCTGGAAGTAATTCTCAACTTCTCTAGCAATCCCAGAAATGCTAGTTAAAGCAGTGAGTTATCTCCTGTCTTCCAATAGCTTGGCAAAATTTTAAAAACAGAAAAGGGCAGCAGGGAAAAGTCTATAAAACAGTACTATAAAATGTCTATGTCTATGGGTATAGATATGTGTATATGCAAAGAAGTTCTAGAATGACACACACCAAACTGAGAATGGTGGTTATCTCAAAGAGGAAGATTTATTTTAGGATGCTGGTAAAAGAAAAAAGAAAAAAAAAAAAAAAGATAAAGGCCTTAACTTCAATTTCAGAGTATTTGTGATACATATGTAAACATTTAGTAGAGATATTTTAGCATTTGAAAGTACACCTCTAAGTATAAATTTTAAAAAATTAAGTATACATCAAGGTGCCCACACACATGTTCAGTTGCAAATGAATGACTTTATTAAGGAGACTCTTTAGACAATATACTTCATTTAAATGAAGATGTACTTGTAACATAATCTGTCTATTATAACGAGTCATACAGTAAATGTATTTAAATAAATGACAATCCTTACTTTAAATATAAGAGAACCACCACTTTCACTTCTTATTTTCTAATATAAAATAAGTTTACCTAAAACAAACCTGAAAAGTTTGAGCTCTGCAAGTGGATACATTTGTTTCTCACAATCTACTAGAATAATTCCCTATATTATTCAATCTGACTTTTTAGTTTCCTCATCTTATTTTTTATCCACTCAAGGTTTTATGCTAAAAAAAACTACATGAATAAGTTCAAACCTGATAAAAGTGCACATTGATGAAGATCTTCATTTACAAATTTCATGAACATATCCTCATCCTAAAATAAGAATTTAAAAATATTTCTCTTTTAAAATCCAACAGTTTTCAAATCCAGAAATTGTTTACATCTATTTTAGTACTTGGGATTGAGTATATGTCTTTAACCTTTAATAAATGAGAAAATTAAAGAATTATTATTGGCTTTAGCCAATATTCAGGATATTTGAAGGGCCAAAGCACCCAACACTTCAAATATCCTGCACCTTAAAGTTTGCATCTTTTATTCCGCCTCTTCCCGTGGGCGTTGTCAAAATAATGAATCTATGGAAGGAATAAAGTTTATAGATTATTGGTAAACCTGGGAAAACAATTTAAGAATAAAATTGGCCAGGTGCAGTAGCTCATGCCTGTAATCCCCGTACTTTGGAAGGCTGAGGCAGGCTGAGGCAGGCAGATCACCTGAGGTCAGGAGTTTGAGACCAGCCTGGCTAACATGGTGAAACCCCATTTCTCCTAAAAATGCAAAAAAATTAGTTGAGTGTGGTGGCACATGCCTGTAATCCCAACTACTCAGGAGGCGGAGCCAAGTGAATCGTCTGAACCCAGGAGGCAGAGGTTGCGTTGCGGTGAACCGAGATTGCGCCATTGCGCTCCAGCTTGGGCAACAAGAGCAAAACTCTGTCTCAAAATAAATAAATAAATAAAATTAACAAAAAAACCCCCACCGAAAGCCATAAATCCTTTAAGTAGCTAAAGTAAGCTTTAAGAGCTTATTTTGGGACAATTAATTTACATACATAATTTATACTTTAATAAAATTTGAAGGAAATCTCTCAGAATACGTAGTAGAAACAGACTAAAGAATTTTAAATACTACATTTCTCCCCTTTTTTTCTTCTTCCAAGTCCCTTCCTTTATGACATCAGAGCCACATTAAAATTGTTACAGTGACACAAAATAAGGTTAGAACATGATGGTTCTATGATACATATTACGGTATAACACGATGGAATCAGCATATGTAAGAAAATAAGTGGACATCAATCCTAAAAATAAAACCCTATTAATAATTTCATACATGAATTTTAATAAAACCTAGAGAATCTTAGCTAAAATATTTTCTCAAAAAAAAAAAAAAACATAGTTTTTCTTTCTAAACAGCGCACAGTTTTCCCAGTGATAGCTTAGCTTTTTCAGCCAAATTATTTCCCAACTTCAATGACAATAATTTAAACATCCAATTGATTTTACAATATTTTAATTGGGGTTTAATGATACAAATTTTATCTCCAAGTAAAATAAAGTTGAGAAAAACATACCGATTCGTCTTCATCACTGATTGTTCCGTCTGAATAGTCTTCTTTTTCTGAATCTTCTGACATCTCTTCCAGTGTTTGACGTGAGATTTCTTGTAATATATGGGTAGGCTGTAAAACAATTTCTAAGGAACTTATTTGACAGCTTTTCAAGCTGTAGATGTTTACTATATTAAATGAGTACTCAAAAATAAATTCAATTGTATTTAATTAAATTAATTAATTAATTTTTTTTGAGATGGAGTCTTGCTCTGTCTCCCAGGTTGGAGTGCAATGGCACAATATCAGCTCACTGTAACCTCCGCCTCCCGGGTTCAAGAGATTCTCCTGCTGCAGCCTCCCAAGTAGCTGGGATTACAGGCGCCTGCCACCAGGTCCGGCTACTTTTTTTTAATTTTTTTTTATTTTTAGTAGAGACAGTTTTTTTTTTTTTAACAGTCACAACAGTCTTCTCTAAAAACTAATTAGAATACAACTAATGAAACCTTCAATTTCAAAGATTTAAAGGAAATTTCCATGATTATAAGAGACAACCACAATAAAAGACAAATCAAGTAAATAATTAAAAGGAATTTCCAGAGTATATAGCCAAATCATTCACATTCTATTATATTTACAATTATATACTAGAGAGCAAGTTCAGAATGATCCTGAGGCAAAGATAATGAATTAAAAAAATTATAGTCACTTCGTGAAATGTAGCAATGTAATTTTAAGTTTTCTCCGTAATTTTCAACTGACCAAAAGTTCAAGTGACAAGACCTTGCGTTTTGATTAATATTTTTCTGTAGATACCATCTGTTCTAATATTCGTTTATATTATTCTCACTCTTAGAAATTCAATAGCTACCAGAAGGTTGTATTGGTGATGACCATTACCCTTCTATGCAAGTATCTTCCCATGTAGTTACTAAGACAAGGGAATAATGGAAATTTCTTGTCAAGTTTCCATTGTTATTGAGGGACCAAAATACTTGACAATTTCAAATCTATTGGTTTACACCCCTCTCTAAAGAAAGCCTGTGTTGGAGCGTGGACTACATAGAAGTCCAAGCTCTGCGGCAAATTACTGCCAACGCCACGGAGCTGACTGTCTCATAGATGACACCCTCAGTCCTAAAAGACTGAAGTTTTTGCCTGGGCATCACAACTGCACATTTGGAAAACCGGACTGGCCTAAACCTCACTCCTTACAGGCGCACACGGGGCACACGAAGTGCTGACCTGCTGCGGATACTCTGGCCTCAGGAGAGAGCCCTTATTCAGCCACAGTCCGCGGGTGTCTTCCACCACTGCGGAGGAGGAGCAGATGCGGGTGCGTCCACGCTTAGCCAAGTCCCAACGGTACCAAGTTCTCGGCCGGAAGCACGATAAGGCCACAACTCCCCGCAGCCGAGTTCCCTCCGGCCCTCACTCCTGGACACCGCGGTGTGGGGAGGTGCTCATTTTCCGGGGCGCGCTCGCCTTCCTTCTCCGTACCTCACCGTCCTGTTGTCCCGTCGGGGCCAGCACCTCGCTCACACCTCGAGTCCTCTGGCCAAGCCAGTAGTCGTTTCCGTGCGCTAAGAATATCTTGGGATCTCGCGGAGGACGCAGACCCAACCGCTAGAAGGAACCCCACTGCCGGAGTTCCGCAG